ACTTAGATTGCTGACAGACACAGAAAGCAGAAGCAGAGGAGACAGTGATGCATCTTCCTGCACAAAACCACTTTACTGCCCCCTGCTCTCTGTGAGCATGGGCTGAGGGCTTAGAAAAACCCCTTCAACCTGGTGGCAAAGGCACTACTCCGTTTCATCAGAAGTATGGAAACAACCTCTTGCCAATATATATACACCTCCTTAGTTTTACTACTACTGGTAGGAACTTAGCTTTTTTTATCCAGAAATGCTGTTTCTTGGAAAAGCTGAGTCCCGAAGCAAGACAGACCTCCATTACACAGACACAAAAGAGCTGACAAAGACAAAAAATAGAAGTTACACACCTTACAGGAAGCACCTCTTTCCCCTGTCTGATCCTCCACACTTATCTGCAAACCCTCGGCCTGTTGTATTAAGATAAGGCCACCCTTAACAGAATTCTCCAGATATAGCATATAAGATGTCCCTCCTGCAACATTTCACTCTAAATATACCCTTGTAAAGGATGTATTGAAAAGCATCGGTGCCACCTTTTAAATGGAGAGACAATGAAGTTTACAGCACTCAATTCCAAAGGAAGCCTAACAGCATCAGATGGGAAAAAAAATGACAGCCATTTACTACAGAATTTTTCACAGTATTTAACATCCAAAATCACAGTTCTTAACTGGATTTGCAACATGAAATAAAGGTAATTTTTCCCTCATGAAAAAATGAATTATGATGGGAATTTTTGTGGAAGGAACTACTACTACCTCATCTATTCCTCTTAGCAAACTGGGAAGCAGAAATCTTCATGACACTTTGAAAGACAAGAATGGAATAAGAACTAAGTTGACAGTGACAATGTGTTGCAGTAAAGGAAAGTCAGGAAATTGATTTTTTAAAAATCATGAAACATTAAAAACCAAGAAATGACGCGGAACAGTTGCATACACCGTATTGCATATAATCTTGCTTTGTCATGCTCAAAGCCATATATTTTTCATCCCTGCTTACAGCATTATCTTAGCATGCCAATTTAAAGGCTAAATATTAAGACTGGCTAACACAACTTTAACTCTTACTATGTCTTTCTATTGACCAATATAGTAACAGGAATCTTGACACAAACATGAAATTAAATGAACCAGTAAAAACTGTCTCTCATTATAAGGACATAAAACCAACACAGCACACACTAAAGGTACTAAATGTTAGACTCTAAGTCATGAGATGTGGTTACAGATGGGGAAATCATCCCAGAACAACTTCTGTGAAACTGGTTACCTGATATTTTCACTAGTGAGCCCCTAATTGTTTACTTTACTTCTTTTAGAGTTTGCGGGTGAAAAAGGAAAAGGCAATTAATTAAAATTAATAACCATGCAAGGCATTCTAGGACACTTACTCATATGGGCACAAACAGAGATGGTATTTAATACAAGTAAGAGTGAAGTGTTGAAAGAAAAGGTATACTTGCAGGACAGAGGACTATTCCAGGAAGCAGAATCTTGGAAAAGAAACTGGCAAGTGAAGTTTTAATTTAAGAGTTCAATGCAAGCAAAGTGATTTTTGAAGGCAGAGACAGTTAAATGTGCGATACAACCTTTTCTTGCTCCTAGCTAAAATGCATTAGACATTCCAAAGACTACAAGGATACCAACAAGATGAATTGTGGAAAGCTTAAAGAAGATAATATGAGAAAAAAAACCCCAAATTTGGAAAACATTTTGATAAAATGTTGAAGAAACTGAAGTTTTCAATCATGGCTATTTGAATGGATGACTTCAACAATCTACCACTTTTTAAAAATATCTTTATGTATGTGAAGGGGTCTTCAGTAGAACAGACCAAAGTATAACAGGATTCTGTGGATGGAAACAGGACAGCTTCTGATAAAATAAGAAACTTGGTGGGAATTTTAATGGAATCTCAACCACTGGATAGTAATCTGGACTAGATGACAATTCTGTGCATTTTAAGTCTTCTGCTCTAAGTAGAAAAATAAGGAACTCCTTTGCATCCAAACTACACTGAAGGAAAAAAAAATAATAGACCTTCATTTCAAAAGATCAGAAGCTTTCCAAGACAGCCACATTATTCAGCATTAACCCAGCAGTCAGGACATACTTAAGATTTGACAGTGAGCCCTCAGACCATGCTTTCTGCTGAAGTACTATTTCGCATCTGTACCTCAACAAAGTACAAAAGGCTCACAGTCCGAGCCTGCAGTGTCAGCAAAGCCAGTGCCCTCAACTGTTTCTTCCGTTAAACAAAATTTGGCCATGCCTTTGTTGGTACACTTTGCACTTCTCTTGCCATACTCCAGCTATGAGGCATAAAATTACCAAGAGAACTGCTGCAAACATCTGGCTACTCTGACTGAAGTCTTTCTGAAAAGGCATCAACCAGCTTTACTGTAGTTGTGTTTACTGAAGAAGTAGATGACTTCTTCACCTAACTTTTCTCAGATCTTTTAAGGCCTGCAAACTACCTACTAGGGTTTTTTATTTTCAGCTACAAAACAGCTGTAAGAAAACATTCCCCAACATGCTTCTGTACAGGGAAACCACATCAGAATGATTCAAAAACCAACACGTTTGGCAGAAAACACACAGATGATGATGCACAGGTTGAGCATCACTATTCTAATGTGCGTGGTCCCAAGTAACAGAGATCTGATAGATGATGTCAGTTCTGTTATAAAAAGGCAATCTTTCACTACAGGGAAAAAAAAAAACAAAACGTCTTTGTGCCTCCCCACAAAAAGCTGGAAGCACTGCTTTAGGGAAACCAGCTGCTGCCAGTTATCAAAAAAGCAGACTGATGTCCTAGAACATAAAGCTTTAGCTTCCTCACAATAATTGACCTCCAGAGGTTGACAAAGTGAACCAGTGATGATATCTGAGAGAGCTTGAGACAGTTGGGGTTGTTCAGCCTGCAGAAGGCTCCAGGGAGATCTTACAGCAGCCTTCCAGTACTTCAAGGGGGCTACAGGAAAGCTGGGGAGGGACTATTTATCAGGGAGTATAGGGATAGGGCAAGGGGTAACGGTTTTAAACTGAAAGAGGGTAGATTCAGATTAGATCTAAGGAAGAAACTCTTTCCTGTGAGGGCGGTGAGGCGCTGGCCCAGGTTGCCCAGAGCAGCTGTGGCTGCCCCCTCCCTGGAAGGGTTCAAGGCCAGGTTGGACGGGGCTGGGAGCAACCTGGGCTGGGGGAAGGTGTCCCTGCCTGTGGCAGGGGGCTTGGAACTAGACGGTCTCTAATGTCCCTCCCAACCCAAACCATTCTGTGATTCTATGATCTACAATGGAGAGTCTAAATTTTAATTTATGTTTGATACACAAAAGAGCTAAATGGAATGTTTAGATTATGGTTCAGTATTATTTCATGGAGTAGTTTATGAAGCAATCTGTCAACTTACTGGTGTTTTAAGTTTCATGTAGCCTATGTATTAGCTGCATTTTGTATCAGCACATAGATCTCAGTTTAAAAACCCCTCAAGTGAGAGAAACAAAAGAACTAGCCCAATTAAATGTCATCAAAGCTGCAGCACACCAGACTGCATTTTCTCAGCTTTACTGCTCAATAAACAACAGAAGGCATGACAAAGTAGCTTAGATTCCACTGTTAACTTTTACAGTACCCAGTCAGAAAAGCATTCTGATTCAATTATGGCAGTTTCAATTTCTGCGACTGGTAACAGAGCTGGTACCGCAAACCTTGAGGGTAACAAGAGTTACAAAACACTAGCCCAGTTCAACTGTACAACTGCTTGTCACTTCCCTGGTAAGAACCAAGGACTTGTAACATGCCAGTTCTGTATTTTTCTTTTGTAACCCATGATTATTAAAAAATAATAATTACTTAACTTGAACTATTTCCTGGGGGGGGGGGGGGGGGAAGTATTCTCTCTCTCCTCCACACCTCATACAAGGATGCTTGCCATATCTACTATGAAAACTTCTGCCTAATTTAATTAGATCCAGTTTTCCAAACCACCATTGTTTAAGGAAGAAAATTATCAGCAGTCATAACCCTCATTTCCTTTGGCACCAGAGGTGAACACAGTGCTCACTAGTAAGCTTATCCACCTCATTATTACAAACAACAGTTAGTATGAGAAAATATGCTGCAGTTTCACAATCTACACTGTAAATATGGGAACACAGCATTGCCTTTGAAGCACTTTTCTGAGCCTTTGAAGAATATAGTTCCGCTCAAAAGAACTGTATTGCCTGTCTTTCTGTTTAAAAGGTTAGGTTGATTTCTGCATTCTTCTCAACGGCAGCAACATATCAATCCCTGGGCTCTCCCTGTTTGCCTCTATCCTGACTAAAACTCATATTCAATATGGTATTTGCAGCTAAATAAATAATCAGCTGGGTTTTTTTCTTTCCTGAACCATAAGAGCTAGAATGAAGGAAGCATTGCTCAGTTGCACTTGAGAAACCTACTAGGAAAGACAGAAAGAAAAAAAAATAATTAAACATTGCACATCCAAATGCAGGCAACTAGAAAGATGGAAGTGTGACAGATGCCTGAATAGAACCCAGACCCGTTCTGCATCACCTGTTCAACACTCCGTTAGGCCCCGGGCGGGCGGGCCTAGCCAGGGGCTGCGGAGAGCGGCGGCCGGGGCCGGGTGGCCGCTCGCACCGCTGACACCAGCTCGAGCAGCCGGCGGCCCTTCCCACGCGTGAGGCCGGCGAGCACGGAGCCGGTCGCCCGAGATAAACCTGGGGGCCGGGGTGAGGCCTCCCCAAAACCCACCGCACCACCCCCCGACCCCCCTCTCCCCTCAGGTGGGGCCGAGGCCCGGGCGCCGGCTGCAAGCAACCCCCGGCGGCAAGGCAGGGACAGGCCCGTCGCGGCCGCTCCCCGCCATCCCCCCTGGCCCCACCCGCGGGACGCGGCGGGCAGCTACGGGGGCGGCGCGGAGCTCCCGCCCGGCACGGCGGCTGCCGCCGAGGGACACCCCCCTTCCCTCCCTCCCCCACGGCCCCGGCGTCTCACCGGGCCCGTAGAACTTGCTGCCTTTGGTCACGTCGAAGACTTTGCCGTTGACAGCCAGGAGGATGCGGGGGTTGCGGGCCCCGTCGAACTCGCGCAGCTGCTCCAGGGAGAAATCCCGCCGCTTCATCCGCGGCAGAGCGGCGGCCTGGCTCTGCCGAGCCGCGCCCCCCGGCCCGTTCCGCGTCCCCCAGCGCAGGTACAGCCGGTAGGCCGCCAGCAGCGCCAGCGCCAGCAGCCCCACGTTCAGCAGCATCTCGCCGCCCACCGCCGCCGCCGCGCCGGCCGGCGGCTCCCCCGCACCCCCGCCCGCCGAGCCGCCGCCGCCGTCGCTGCTCCCCTCAGTCCTCAGCCTCCCCTCCCCATCGTCCGCCATCACTGCTCGGCTCCGCCCCGCTCGCGCCCGCGAGGACGCGAGGCGACCGCCCCGCGCTCCCGCTCCCGCTCGCGCCCCCACCCGCCGCTCCGGCTACGCTCGCTTCCCATTGGCCCACCCCCCCCACATCCCACGGCCGGGGGCGGTGCCAATCCCCGGCAGGCTCGCGCCCGGCGGGCGAATCAGACGCGGACACGCCCCACCGCGCTCTCCGCTCGCGAGAGGTGCCGTGGCCGCCGCCGCCGCTAGCGCGCATGCGCGGCCAGGTGGCGTTGGCGGGAGGCTGAGGGGAGGGAGGTGTCTCGGGCGGCGCGGCCGCCACAGCGGCTCTGGCCCCGCTGCTCCTCAGCGGAGCCGCCGCCGTCTGCAACAGCAACAGCAGAGCGCGGCGGAGGGAGAGCGGCGGGGATAGCGCGTTAGAGCCGCGGGGCGCGGGTGCTTCCGCTGCCGCGGCAGAGGGTCGAAGGCCGGCAGCGCCGGGTGCAGGCGCGTTGCGTGGCGCCCTGTCGGCGGCCGCTGAGGGGGCGGTGCGTCTGCGGAGGGCTGCGGCGGGGAGGAGGTGGTTTTGCTGGCCGCCGGGGGGAATGTGGCCTGCCCCTGAGGTGACGCGGCGGCCGCTCCTGGAGGGAAGCCTTGGGGACGTAGCTCAGGGGACTGATGGGTGCATTTCACTGCTTAGGGTATGCACGCCCTTCCATTTTTGCTGTCAGAAAACGTGAGGATTACAAGCAGTAGGCTACAAGCAGTAGGCTAATCCACTAGAATTATTCATTGTGCTGTGAGGTGTAGTAGTGGCGGTATGTAGATGGCGTTAGCATATCTTGTTAAGTGCAACCCATCACCCGGGAGTGAGTTTGTTCAGTTAGGTGAGGAGAAAGACTTCAAACTTTTAGTATTTTCAAGGAAAGAGTGGGTGCACGTACATCATCCCAGTAGGATGACATCTGCAGAGAAGTCAAGGACCTAGGCAGAATTTAGCCCTTTTGTTCCTCTCATCTTGTGAATGTGGTCCCAAACAACACTGACTGTCTCGCCAGATGATGCAGAAGAGCTGCACTACAAACGCATAACTGGGCCTGGGGAATGTGAACCGGCTCTGCTACTCTCCCTGGAGTTCGATTGTGATAGAAGTACTTTGGACCTGAGAAACATTGTTACTACACGTAACTGCATGGTGCTGAAGCATCCCTGCGTAATAACATCAGCTTTAAGAATAATTCACCATTACCTAACTCAGGCACAGAAGCTGGAAAACACAAGTGTTTTCACAGAGGGTGGTAGACAGTGCAGGAGGCTCAACCCAGTGGAAAATAATATTAACTATACTTAGCCTTTACATAAAGCTTTGTGTTTTCAACACCCTGTGTAATGATTAGGTGTTTAATCTGCCCTCTGAGCCAGTTCAGTAATGACTGCCTCTGTAGAGAAACAGGATGAAGTTCTTGCCAGTTAAGGACTTGCAATTAAAATGCTACTACCATTCCTCTTAACCAGGCAGGCACTGTTTAATATATGTATAAGTAAACACTATTAAGAAAGTCCTTTTATCTCAACAAGTCACATCTTGATTGTGGTTAACAACAGTTTTTATCACAGAATCCTCATATGTTTGGATTGTCTGGTCACAGCTATGCTGCAGGTCAGAAAAAGATGGAGTTGTACTCTTATCCCCAGATATCCTTTCCTTGTGAGTTTAATGTAGGTTTTCCACAACATTTTACTATGTTCTCTTACCTTCCTTTGTATTTTAAAGATGGGTCCAGAAAACAAAAACAAGTAGTAAGAGATGTGAAGTACTTTCACTCATCTTCCTACCAAGGTCTTGTCTCTAAATTCATACAGACTGGCTAAATAATTCTAGATATTTATTTGAAAGCATGTGGTTTTCCACAGCATAAATGTGGTGGTCTGATATATTCTGGAAGGAATACTTTCAGAGATCAGCATAGCTACCATAAACGTTCTAGCCTTCATTTGTCTGTTCTGGATGATTTAAGAGATTATCTTGCTACCTGGGCTTGGCTAGGGTACCTTGATTTGCTTCTGTGAGCCTTGGATCTAGCACAGCAAAATGGTGGCTATTTTTGATCTCCAGATAAGAGCTGGAAACCAAGAGGAGTTCCAGGAACCCACCTTAGGGAAATAAAATCACTTGAAAGACCATGTTCAGAGGAATTTTACCTGAAAGAATTTAAACACCAAAAAATAGACAGATATATTAGAATACTTATTCATATGCAATCTCATCTATTGATACTTGATTATCCTCTAGTTCTTGGAAGTTAATAGCCATTAGCTTTCATAGCAATCTCTCTGCCATATCTGACATTTGTTCTATCAACAAGGGAAAAACAGTAGTATCTTTTAAAGTTACTTGCTTGCTGGTGTTAGGCACCAGTCTACATTTTCTTCAGAATAGAGACCTGTTATAATGTGTCAGGTATATGACTGACTATTGCACCTTTGTCCTAAGAATTTCACAGATGGATCAGCTGACACCTCCTTCATTCCACATATGAAATAATTCTCTAATATTTTTTTTTAGAAAGAAGCAGATAGGATGCCTCTGGATGACTTTTCCATTAGGAGGCAGATGCCTCAACTCAAAGTTACGTTCTTCACTTTTTCTTTTCAAACACTGCTTATTACAGTCTCTGGAGAGAAGACTGAACTCAATGAAAAGCACAATGAGAACACAAGTTTACAAACAGAAATTGAACTCTGATGGACTATCGTGGCTAAAATTTAGTTTTCACTGCTCTTGAAGCTGAAGAAACATCTCACACAAAGGCAGTCTAGGTTCAGGACAGATTAGGAGATGAACAGTGTGTAAAGAAATGTAGAGATGTCTCAGTAAATTTGGAATAATAGAACAAGCAATCAGCTCCATTGATTTCTGGATATTTTTAAACCCAGCTTAATGTATGGAATGCACTGGTGATTTTTTTTTTAAGCTGATGCAGCTTGGAAATACTTACCGTTGAGGTCAATGCAATGCTTGATGTCTTATTTCAAAATAGTATCCGCTTATGTTCCTTAACACATCTTTATTTCATATTTAAGTGCTACACGTAGACCTATTTATAATTTGTTAGTATCACGTCACGGGGTCTTTTAATGCTGAATGCATACAAGTTATTCAGAAATTTCTTTCAAAAATTTGAAAATATAATATGAATAGCCTTGGAGCTAAATTCATATGGACACATACAATTTTTCATTGCTGAGAAGTCTACTGTTATTTCTTAGTCTATGTAAATGGTGTGCTATCTGAAGTGCCTGGTTATAATACTGCGGAAATAGATTAAGTTAGTCTCTAACAAAACAGTTTGGTTTTGTTCATCGATTATAAAGTTATTTTTTCTAATGGTGTGCTTTACAGAAGTCTCTGTAGTGCAGACTGGGACAGCAGAAGCCTGTGAGCACCAGTCAAGTGCTGTCCAGTTGAGTAACTGGGGGTGCCTTGCTACAGAGCCAGAGGTAGATTTGCTGCAACTGGAGCTCAGCCTGGTGTGGGAGCTGAAAGCAGCTTTCCTTCAAAGGTGGAAAGCTCAGGTTACTCTGGCCCTCAGCTCTTGGTTGTACAGTGGCTCTGGCATGTATTATTCCAAATCTGGTCAACTACTGGCTTGTATACTAGAGATACATTTTCAAAAAACATATGCGAATGCATTTGCAAAGGCAGGCTTTTAACAAGACAACTAATCTGGGGTGTTTGGAACCGCTTGTAAGCAGCTGTGTATTCCAATGGTAACTTCAGAACTGCAATAATTAGGCAGTAGCGAAAGTACCCAGGCAAGCCTTTGGGCATAGCCATCTTTAAGGAAGGATGTAAATTTTCAGTATAAATAGAGCATGCTCCTGCATTAAGTATGTTTTCATATTTGACTCTAGATGCTTATAGGGCAAATACTAAATGCCCAGGCCTATCATTAGATTATATAACCTCACTGTATTGTGGGATAGATCTGCAAAAAATGTGGATGCTACGTAAGAGCTGCAGAAGAATATTCTTTAGCAGGTCTCCATAAAGGATCGCAAAGAAGACAAAAACGGCAAGTTACACAGACATAAGAGTGTATCAAGCAGACTGGGGATAAGACCTGTGTAGAGGGTTGGGAGGTAGACTTTTTGCGGGTAGACTGCAGTTGATGAGCTCAGGCACGGCTTCCTGCCTTACCACTGGTAGCGTATGGCACTATAGATAATGAAATAGTACATGTAAAATGTAGATTTTAAAGTCAGAAAATAATTTGAACTACTTAATGCAACTGCAAATAATTTTAGCATTTCCATTCTTCCTACTCAGTTCTCAACTGTGCAGGTATGACCTTTTGCACACTTGGCAGAATTGTACTGTGTGTATTTTACTACAACGCTGGCGAACCAAGTGCTTAAGTAACCAGATGATTATCTGTGCAGTGATATAGTTAAAACCCCATGACGTTAATGAGAGTTTTTCCAGTAACTATAATTTCACAAGTGTAGTAATACTAGTAACCTTGTCTTGGTTTTAAAGAGCTGGGTTGGTTGGTTTGTTAGTTGGTTTGTTTGTTTCCCCTGTAGAAAACACCACTAACATGGACACTTTACATTTAGTTTTAAAACTAGCACTTTTTAAGCTCAATTTCAGTTGATGCTTTTTTAGCTCTGCCTTGGGATTATCTTTCTAAGATACTGCTGTGTATACATGTGCATTTTTTCTCTGTAGCATATCACTTGTGTTAAAAATTCCTATGATAATTCCCTTGGTTTGCCACAATCATTATCTTCTAAGTTGTCTACAGGTGCCTACTTCAGCTGCTGATCTTTCTAACTCTGCGCTGCTAGCTGTGAGTTGAAAATCACAAACAGAAGTAGGTCACTACTGGTATTCCTCCTGTTCCATGTTCTTGCATTTCTTTGTCCTGCTTATCTGCCTTTCCATCTCAGTTCCATTAAGTCTTTGAGGCATTTTATATTCTATTCAGTCTTAAATCACATTTTTTTTTTATGGACTATTCCAGGCTACTGTTCAGAGAGACAGCTAATGAGTGCCT